TTGACAACACTTCTTTGTAGATTTACTGAAAGTCATTTTGGCATGTGTAAGGTGATATTTAATTGTGGTTTTAACTTGCATTTTTTTTATGTTTAGTGATATTGAGCATCTTTTCGTATGTCTATTGGCCATCAGTATGTCCTCTTTGGAGAAGTGTCTATTCAGGTCCTCTGTCCACTTTTTTAAAAAATATATTTTATTGATATTCCACAGAGAGGAAGGAAGTGGGATAGAAAGTTAGAAGCATCGATGAGAGAGAAACATCGATCAGCTGCCTCCTGCACACCTCCTACTGGGGATGTGCCCGCAACCAAGGTACATGCCCTTGACCGGAATCGAACCTGGGACCTTTCAGTCCTCAGGCTGATGCTCTATCCACTGAGCCAAACCAGTTAGGGCATCATTTTCTAGAATTTCTTATTGGTAGTTCTTTAACTTTTGGGGATCCCAGACCACTTCAACCATTATTGAATACTACAGATTCTCTCATTAGAAAAAGTGACACACGCACAGATTTTTGTACAATTTCATGATACCCTAACAGCCATTCTACAACCTACTGAAACCCTATTGGAATCCTACACATCCTTCAGGGGTAGGTCAGATCAGATAAGATCTCTTCCCTGAAGTGTTACTGGTCCTCCTCTTCCCACAGTGGGTGGGACCCCCGTCTGTGCCAGGAGGGCTTACACTGCTAAGTCCCTTGCTTGGAAATCTGTAGCATACAGCTTTGAGCCCTCCTTGGTACTATGGCCTTACACGTTTTCCCCTTGTGCTATTTAAATTATTATCTACATATGTCCTATTTCCCTCACTGGAATTGGAGTTTAAGGGCAAGAAATGTTTTAGTCATTCCCAGTACTAGCTCAGTGTCTGGCGTGAATTCATAAATGAATTAATATACATGACAGAGAATACAGTTCCGTAAAAAATCATAAGATCCTAACAGTAGGAACTACCTTGCTTTCATCTTTGTATTCCCAGAGTAAGAGGTGCTGAATAAACGTGTGGATTGATTGATAAGAAAATAATCATAGGTATCATTTACTGAGCATTTACACACACTCAGCTTCTTACAAGCATTGATGTCCTTTATCCTTACAAAACCCGTGAGGTGTGAGTTACTACCTCCATTTCACAGATGAGGAAACCAAAAATGAGATCAAGTTTCTCATGGTCACTCAGCTGGCATGGGTTAGAGCTGGTGTTAGAATGCAGGTGTATATGACTGCCCAGTAATTCCTCAAAAAGTCATGGCTCATTGGTTTGCTTTGTGGTTTGTTCTTTTGGTTTTACTTTACATCTGTTGTGTTCATCAAGCCCTCCCCCTAGAACTCTGTGAACCCGAGTGACAGCAGCCTTGATGCTGGATGGCCACTGGATGCATGAGCCAGAGAGCAGATTTCTGTCGGTGGCTGATGCCAGCACTCACCTGTCTGTCAAAGGTGTGATCACAAGGCGAGGTGTATTTCCCAGGTACTCATAGGAATATAGAAACTGGGCATCACAGATGTTGGCAAAGCAGTGTTTGGCTTCATCATCCCAACGATGCCGCAGCTGGGACAGCCAGAGAAAGGCCTGGGCACTGTCCACCTAAAGGCAGAGTGGCAGAGCAGCTGGGTGAAACAGTGCCCAGCAGGTAGCAGGTGGCCCTTAGCCACAGGACACACAGGCTCTGGATGACTTGGGTGTTGTCTTCTAGTTAAGAGCACAGCACACTGTGCCTGCCACAGCTCAGAAGGCATGAGCTGCTCTGATTACCTGTTTCTATCGGAGTTTTGAAGGCTGGAGCAGACACCCTGATCCATTCCCAGCTCTATGGCCAGTGCAGAGTCTGGGCCCCTGTGCTTTGTCTGTATGTGAGCCTCTTCCTAAATCCAATATTCGTATTCCCACAGAGAGGGGGTCTCCTGCGTGTTTGGTACTCACCTTCTGAGCAATCATCTTGGCCACCACGTCCCGGGCGTGCACATCGATGGTGCATATAGTCATGACCTTCTGTCGGTCCCCCTTGGAGAGCTGGCCAATCAGCATGGTGATGAGGGCTTTGAGCTGGGCCACTTGCTTCTTGTAATAGTCTTTCATGGCACTCTCATAGCCTTCCTCCAGCCTGGCAAAGGCCATGCCCACCTCTGTGGTCCACCAGATCTGGGTGCAGGTCAGGGCCACCTGTGGCAACAAGAGGCACTCAGCAAAGCCATTAACCAGGCCTGTCTCCAAAACTAGTCCACTCATCACACCAAGGGACTCAGAATGTGACTGTGTGAGTGGCATAGCCCCTTCCCACCCTCTCCACCAGCATGGATTAAGTGAGCTATGCCTGTGAATCCTTGGTGATGTGAAGTGATTGCAACGTAGTGGGGCAAGTACTTTCTGCTCTTAAAAAGTATACTATTTGGTTAAGAACAACCAAAGACTTACTCTAGTCATTGTCAGTGGCTTTTAGAAATCACTATACTGATCATTCAGTTTTGCAGCGTCCATCCTGTGCTTGGGAGAATAACAATATGTTGATTGAAATCTCAAACACACTCAGTCTTTGCTGTCATCCTGAATCCTCTTGGGGTCCGAGAATTTCAATTTAGTGAGCCATTGCTGATCACTTATGGTGTATCTTGCTTGTATGTAATACTTTCACTACATTTTTTATTTCTTAAAGCTTATAGTGTTGAAAGCCTACTCTTGAAGGTCAAGGTGAATTATACCAAAATTCAACGTGATAATATGATTTGCATTTTTCAGAAATTCAAAATAAATATATGGGAAAAGGAATTCAAATGAACATTTCTTCTGTTTATTGGGAAAATTGATATGAAAAACGCATGATTTTGATTCTTCATGGTGGAGAAGTTAGATACACGGATCACCTGTAGGATCATTTGCTTTGGGAGACATGGTTGGAAGATATGTTACAATAGCAGCAGGCAGCAAGCTTCCCTGCCTCCAAATTCTGATTCAGGTAAACAAAGAATCCTGATGGGAGTCACCCACTTTGTGAAACAGAGAATCCCGCTGCAGTAAAGGCACCACTCCCTAGTTTACCCGCTTTGCTTTTGGATTTAGACTTTGGGTCTTGTTACAGGAGTTCCTCCTGCACTGGCATCTTGTTGCTATGGTTTGAATGTGATGCAGCAACTGTCCTGTTAAAAATACCTCTCCCCTCATGCAGTACCGGCCTATGTCCCTTCTCTTCTCGCTGTCACAATTGCTGCCAACATTTCCCCACCCCTTTCTCACTTCTCAGCCCCCTGCACTCCACTGAAATGGCCTCCCCAAGTTCACAGACATTCCTCAGCCTCTTTATTTTGCTTGGTCTCTTAGGAGTACATGACATAATTGACCTCTGGCCTGCTATCAAGTTTCTTTTTTGGTTTCCATAGTTGCTATTCCCTGGTTTTCCTTCTACCTAAAAAGGTACCATTTCTCATTCTGTTTTACTGGCTCCTCCCTGCCTACCCAGCCTCTGAATGATGCTCATGGGTTTGTTCTATATTCTCATTTCAGTCTACATATCTTCCAAGAGCAACCTCACCTACTCCTATGACTGCAATTACCAGCAAATACTTACAATCCCAAATATACCAACACTAGCATTATGCTACCAATAGGGGAAAGGAGGAGGGGTATACTGCAGCCAGAGTCATTAAAAAAATTCTCATTAGTTTTCCCTGCTCTCTACTACCCTCCTGAGAACCAAACCACTAAAGGATTCAGACATGACTTAGAATCAAGTCAGACTCCCTAACATGGACTATAAGAACTAGCTTCGTTTCCTCTCCAGAGTTATTCTGTTGCCTTTTGTTCCCTCCATGGCTTATTCTTGCTTCAACCACACCCAGTTCCTCCAAATTCCTTAGATACACTACGCTCCCCTTGCTGCTGAGGCCTTACACAGGCTTTCCCTCATGCTTGGCTGCTCTTCCCCTCCATCATTACCTCATAAACTCCTATTTCAAACCTCGGCTTGAAGAGCATATTCTCAGGGAGGTGGTCCCCAGGCCCCAGTGCCTAGCCCTATGCCCCCGAGTGCCCCGAGCCCCTTTGGTCACCACTCTAGGCCCCTCTGTAAGAAACACAGCCTGTGAACTCCAGCAGGACAGGTTCAGGGTCTTGGTCCCTTCTGGTGTCTCCTGGACTCAGCAGTGAGCTTGGCACAAAGTGGTCTGGGTCAACCAGTTGACCTGTTGACATCTTCTCCCTACTGCAGCCAGTGAGGGCAAAAACAACAACCTTTCCTTTCCCCAGGTTTTGGTTAAATTAGGTCACGGCTGACAATTCTCTTACTCCCTTTTGCTGATGCCTCACAGACCAGCTTCTCCTGACTGTGAAGCCAATAGTGAGTCTGATGTCTGGTCACCCCTGAAGGCTGACCAAGGTTCCCAGGAAAGAGAGCCCAGTGGAGCCGGGGCCCATGAAGGTCTGGTTAGGATGTACCTGAGCTGGATAGTCAAAGAGCCACTGCTCCCTGGGCTTTTCCTCATAGGCAGTCACACCATCGGTCATCTCATGCCTCACGGTGGCCTTCATGTGAGCAAGCACGTGGTTCAACCATGTTTCCACCTGAAAAGAAGACCTCTGGCTTAGCCCCTGATTTCTGAGAAGATATGATCAGTAATACACATGTCCTTCCTCTTAGCCCAAGGAAGTGAAGACAGTGCAACCAAGCCCTGAGGACAACTCCAATGGCTGCCACAGGCACAGGAGATGACGGCTCATTTGTTTAACCCAGGTTATAGGTGAGCACCAGGCTCAACTAACTGCGGGGGATGTTCCCATTGAACACACAGGACAGAGTGGCAGGCTAAGGGGTTTGGTTGGGGGCGGACTGCCAATTTCCTTTATTTCATAAAGGAAATCCTAATCTGGGTTGAGGTAGGTGTAAATAAGTCAGTGGGTTCTCATGACTTTGTCCATGAAAATGGAGATGTGAACTGGGGTTATATTTTTCAAACTAAATGCTTTCTCAGTCTACAAAAAGAGTACATTCTGAACCAAACCCTAGGGTTCCTCTCATAAGCAGCCTGATTATTTCAGCATTGGAATAGCTTTCCAGGACACATGTGGATGAAGGTGAAACTCTACAAAAGATATTTTCTCCAGCTGTTACTGTACTTGGGTATTTCAGGGGAATGAACGAAGAGGGCTTATATCTAGTGGTAATGGTGAAGGATGGTAAAGGGGTTGAAGCAGAAAACTGTCCCATGATTTTTGTTTCTTTCTTAAAAAATGTTGTTATTGATTTTTTTAGAGAATAAAAAGGGGAGGGAGAGAGAGATAGAAACATCGATGAGGGAGAAACACCAGTCAGCTGCCTCCTGCTCACCCCTACTAGGGATCAAGCCTGGATTCCTGGCATATGCTCTGACCAGGAATCAAGGTGACCTCTTGGTGCATGGGATGAAGCTCAATCCACTGAGCAACACTGGCTGGGCTATGTTTCTTGAATTATAAACAGATCTGGAGGCAGAGTTCTTGGCTCTGCAGGAAGGAATGACTCTGGGGTGCATTTGAACAGAGAAGTGACATCTCAGGAAATTGGTTGATTTTAAGGGGTGTTTTCTCCTGGGGCATTTGTCCGTGTTCCTGGTTCCCTGTGGGGTGCTCCAGGGGATGTCATGTCAAAGTCTCCAGTACTGCTAACCACTGTAAACCTTTTCTCGTCAACTCAGGGAGCTGTTTATGTGCATTTCCTTCCTCTCTGCACAGGTCTTTGGTTAAGGCAGATACATGAACACTGACACACGTCCTTCCCTGAGAGAGGAAAGCAGGCATGAGAGGCTGCTCCAGGGTTGGATCAAGTTAACGGAAGCGGAAGCTGCGGGTTCAATGGGACACAGAAAGCAGCTCTGGCCTAAGGTCAAAGGCCATGCTGAAGGTCAGTGCTGACTGTATCTGAAGGTGGATACTTGAGAGAAAGGACTTTCACAGCACCTGCCCACTGCAGCTGCAGGGCTCGCTGAAGGCCACGTACTCCTCCTCCTTGCTGTACATGCCGAGGCTGATCTTGGTTGGTTGCTCACTGGCGTCCAGCTGGAACTGCATCCTGGCCATATTGTCAAAGAGTTTGGAAAGGTGGCGTTGAACCTATGAGGGGAAACCATGGCAACGGATTGGAGAAGGTGTTGTTTAGAGGCCTAGCATGTGACAGCTATTAGAGGGCTGGGTACCAAATGCTTAGAAGAAGCTTGTGGGAATGATGGCGATGTGACAATGGCAACCAACGAAATGAGAAGTGGCCAAAGTAAGATAATCCTAGTGGGAATTATGTATTAGCTACAGACCAATGAAGCCACCAAAGTTTGATTAAGTTCTACATGATCTACTATTGATTGGAAAAAAAATGGTTACTTCATAGACCCCCTTCCTAAGAAAATACTACTGTGGGGCAGGAGATCAGCCCAGTGTAGCCTGCAGAAGAATGCTAACACCCCTGAATCTGGAGTCTGTGGAAGAAGTCACCCAGTTGTTGGAAGTGCTTTGGGGAAGCAGACAAACATCTGGAGGGTGCAAAGCCAGGGCAGGCATGCTCACCCCCACGGAGAGCCTGGCTGTGCCGGGCGTCTCCCTAGCATGGTGTCTCATGATACAGAGGTCCTTCACCGGGGAGCCCCAGGCAGGCTCTCTAGAAGGAATGCTAGACAGAGCCACACTGTGGTCCAGGGGTGAGGGAAACAGCAGGCTCCAGGAGGAACAACAAGCAGAAAACTGTTCTCTGAAGGAGGTTTGTGAAGGATAAGGCCCTTCAGGCTGCAGGAACCCCGAGTGTAGTTTTACACGTACAGTAACCAGCTCTCTAGCTTATGAGATGGGATGAAAATGTTTGTGTATTTGTGGGCTGTGAAGGTGTTCAAGATCATGGTGACTTGGGACAAAGATCTTCATGGGATAAC